GCCTGTAAATCCACGGCAAATTTAACCGTTTGGGATAAACAGCGGAATAAATGGCAATGTAGTTATCGTTGTTTTATTATCGCGCGATTCAACATCGAATATAATTGTTTGTTTACGCCTGTTCGTCATAATTTGCGATTATTTTAGCGCAGTGAATATTATATATTTATACAAAGTGTCCCATGTATGTTGTGCAACACGAATAACTCTGTTATTTACTGTTATACAGAAAAACTGTTGAAACAAAAATGTTTTGATTGAAAAAAGCTTCTTGATTTTATAATGATCCTTCTTGCATCTTAATTTAGTGTCAAGACAATCGTAGTAAATGTACGGAAAGTCGAAGTTCGTAAAATTTAAAATAAATAACATGTACAACGATGGACAGAATTGTTGCGACACGTTGATTTTTAGTGAATTTAGAAACGCGCATTTAGATTCAGGTTTACGTTCCAAAACATTTTCTCTGAGAAAAATTTTACTTGAGCAATAGATTGAAAACGCTCAAGATAGTTTTGGAATGACCGTCGAGTAAACTATTTCTCGGAGAAGAAGATTTTGGAACGTAACATAGAAAAAGTGTCGCATTCATTGTGTCCATCACTGCACAACGAATTCATAGCAATATAATTTTTTTAATTGTCTTGTTAAGAGGAGTTAAAAAAGTACGATATCATACATCATTGTTTACATTGGGATTGTAAGAATGCTGATTTTAAACACGGAGGAATTCAGCACAAATTACATAAAATACGTTTTTTTTAAAGGTTATTTATCGAAGAATATGTACAGCATGTCAATATAAATGTACGAAAAACGTTTACTTAAAATACACTTTTGAAATCTGTCAATAAATAATAATCTTATTTAGTCTACTGTACTATATTTTGTACATGATATACGTCGCACATTTTTAAACTTCTCATGACAAGACTAAACGAAATATTTAGTAAAAAATATAGTGTACCGTAATAAAAAGAATGATGGTATTATGATTATTGGGATAATAAACGAAGATGCGAGGAATGCCATTATATGTATAATCGAGAAGCCCTTTTGAAACAAAACATGTTTGTTTAAACAATTATCTTATATAACACTACATAATAGAGTTATTTATGATGCGTAAAATACATTGGACAGGCTGTATACACATACATATCAATTTGAATTTCGATTAAATAAACTCTCAGCTAATTGGCGAGAAGTTTGCATAAAATTTACATCGATTGACAGATAATTAGTAATTCAATTAACAAAAATCAATATTTATTATTCACTAGTGAAATATTGATGAAATGTAAAATGTACAACAAGGAAAAGATACATATATTTCAGGCTATGATATACACGTCGGAATTTAAGAGAAACTTTTTTTTAGTAATTTTATGTGTTGTTATTTGGGTCTATATCACGAATAGAAATTTGTTATAGATCATGGACCGTCTAATCTAAATCATTTCTGTGTTTATTAAAGAAAAATAACTTTCAAAATATAAATAACAATTTGAATAATACTCAACGAAATCTAGGATAAAATAAAATTTGCTTCTTCGAATATAAGAAGTAAGTAAAGTGTCGAATAAAACGATAAAATAAATCTTGATTTCATTAATGATGTATCTTTTACATCTCTATTTTTTATTTTAATTGACGTTTATATAATTAGCCATTTATTTAAACTGGTTACGATATGCGACATTTAATCTGTGTTTTTAATCGATGAGATTTATTACGGCACTACGATTATATGTACAGGTTTTTATTATTGAAAAGCGTATTTACGAGCGTAGCGGACAAACACCCTGAATGAAGCTTGATTAATAGCTACTGCTAATTGGTTCATTTGTTCAGAGATATCACTGTCTACACTGCAGGACATTCTGCGCTCTTTGATTTTCACTATTCACACGCCTGATGGTAATTCATTTGTAACAGTTCGTTGCATTTGTTTGCAGAACGAAATTTTAACAAAACTGTTTTTCTCTTAGTGGCTGATAAGTAATTAATCAAAATATCCTTATAATGGAAGAACTTATGCAAGATAAATGGAATGAGATAGGAGTAAATAAAATACACGATAAAGCGAGCAGACAAATTAACACATTAAAATGAAATAATAAAATGTTACTATACTATTACTATTACTATTATAAAGTGCCAAAGTGATAGATACATAATAATAACACAGGTTATCACTGTTATCGGAATAATCAGAATATATTGAATTTATTAAAAATTTAAAAACTAAATTATTGAAGAAATCACCGAAGATATCATGGCACACTTTGTATATAGAAACGTGTCACAATCGTTACACGATCAAAAGAAAGTTGTCGACTGTAATTTTTGTATATTGAAGCAATGTAAGAAAGTTTTTAAAATGCCTTCCGCAAATTCTGAATGATATAATGCAAGATGTTTCAAAGGTATCCTAGTAGTAAGGTATTTCATTGCGTACACACAAAGTAGAAAGCATCAAGCGGTAAGCACGGAATAGCGAATCGTAATCCACGTCGAAATATGCAAATGGTTCTTCTTTGCTGTTACATTGCGAAGCGTAGTCAGCTGGCTGGCTTTTACTTCGCTTCAATGTGCGGAAATCCTTTTGAGGAGGAAAAGCCCTTTGTATCTCATAATTTTAATCAGCATTCCCGTATCGAGTAAGTTAACTTTGATCAAAGTACTTCGCGTCAACCTTCATCACAATTCTGAAAGATCGAAAAATCTCATCAGGTGTAGAAATTTGCAAAATTTGTCACGTGTTGTAAGTCATCCTTTCATTTAAGTTTCATTTAGCTTTCATGTTTAAGCTTATTCTAAATTTTTCTAAAATTCAGATTGTTGTTTTTACATTTATACTCTATAAAGTTAAATAATTAATTCGTTTGTTCGGAATGTTTCAACGTTTAACGTTAAGAGAAAGAGAGAAGGAAGGAAGGAAGGAAGGAAGGGGGAAAGGAAGAAAGCGACTTTGATATATTTATAAGTAATATCCAACGGCGCATTGATATCGAACATCGATAGAACGTTCATGGGAATTTAATGATACCGCATCGTTTTTTCTGCGTAAGATGAGCTCAAGGATGAATTTTCCGGTCGGCCTGTTACGACCGATTTAAGTTTCACGTGCCGTTTCACGTGCCGCACCATTGTTCTTTCATGACGCGTGCGTGAAATATAAGGAGTACATGTGCTTCTTGATATCCGTCATTGTAAAAAGTATTTTTTAAACAAAATTAATTGTTGTAATTTTCTTACACATTTTTTTTCTCGTTACTAAATGAGAGCTTTTACGCGAGTTTTATAATTTCAGCATTTAGAGATAATTATTTTATTTTATATCGTTATCTGATTATGAGTAAAACATCTTTAAAAATATTAAATATAATTTTAAATAAATGACTACATAAATTTCCAAATTAATGATAGAATCTAAATTAATCTAAGAATTTAAAGATAAAAATCAGCTTTTCGATTGAAACACCTGTAAATGAAGGAAATAATACAGAAATGCACAAAAGCACCCGCGGAACTGAGTCCTTGCACTCTAGCACCTTTATTTTCGAGACAAATGCGGCCAGGCGCCATAATGGCGCTTCCATAATTATATTCGTTCCCTTGAGTTGGTGAAAATGGTTTCGTGCAGCGAATGTATCCTTTCGCTACCACACTAAAAGCTCTCCGAGAAGGAAAGCTTTAGAAAACCGGAAGCTCCGTTGTTCGCCCTTGACTGGATCGAACGAGAAGTCGTATTCTCGTCCACGGTCAAAGCCTCTCTCTCTCTCTCTCTCTCTCTCTCTCTCTCTCTCTCTCTCTCTCTCTCTCCCCCCCCTCTTCCTCTAGATTGTGTCCTAAATATTCTGTTAGTTTTATATCATGTCCGGATTTTATCGATTTTGTCGTATTGTCGCAGTACAATTCGTCTAAATATAGATAAGAAATGGAGGAAATGGTTCGGTGATTAGAATATCGCTTGTCAATTGCATGTCATCTTCTTAGATGAACATATATTATATAATTAAAAATATACACAAATACAGAAATATAAGAGAAAGATAAAAGAAAAAGATAAATATTTAAAAAATATAATTCTTTTTAAATTAATAACTGAAATATCTGTAATTAATACAAAAATATTATGTTAAATAATTATAATAAAAAAGAGCAATTAGAACAATTAAAAATTTTTAATCTTGTTAAAAATTCTATCAAGTTATATGAAAATCATTAAATGCTACTCCGAAAAGAAATACTTTGGAGATTTCAAAGCTGGGCAGATTTTGATTGTGAGATCCCGATCCTGCGATCCTTGGGAGGATTTCTCATACACCGAAAATAGGACGGCGTCCCAATCTCATAATCTCTGCGGGGTTTTCCTTCCCATCTGCTATCAATCCCACTTTTTCTTTTCATACGTCTGCAGATAGGCTTTGTCTCGATGGCGTGTGCTCGGTTTCCAAAGGGGGTATAAATTGCCGGCCTAAAGATACGATCCTTGAAGCGAATCGGAAAGACCTAGTTTTACTGTTAACCGAGACTTAGATAGAACGAAAAAAAGAACAAAATGAAATAGTGAGCTTTCAGCAAAATATTTAGGGATCATTGAATGTTAAAAAAGGATTTCCGTTTCCAAGTTTAGAAAAATCGAGTTTTATACAATTAACGGGGACTATATTTACCGTGACCTAAACTGACATTTTAATTTTACTTTCTGAAGAATTAATTTCAATCGTTCCTGATTTAAATTAACTTTCATTTATTATGTGTTACTGATCAAATAAACATTGATAAAGTTAATATTATCTATATTATTTATTGTTATTGAATATTATTGTTCTAATATTAAATTGATATAGATACAAACAATGTTAATTTAATAATTTTGCAAAATTAGTATCCCTCTCTCTTGCGCGCGCGTTCTTTCGAGATAAAGCACATTTGAGATGTAAAAAAGGGAAGGGTATAAAGGTAAGATTGTGTATAAACATTAATTCAAATTTCTTATTTGCATAATTAATATTTTATTGGGACGTTCATGTTGGAATAACAATTTTGCATTTGCTCATGTTTTAGATTTTTTGGTATACCGGTTTTGTATTTATTCATGTTCAACCTTGCAACGATTTGATTGCATTGGACTGCAAAAATATAATAAAGTATAATATATTATAAAAATATAATTAAAGTAAAGATATAATACTTTTATGTAATTAAAATGTAACACTATGTATTTATAAATTTTAATATTACTACATTATCACATAACAACGCTGCAGCACTCTCTCTTTTTTCTCTCTCTTTGTTACTTTTTAAGTAAAGATTTATGATTTTACAATTACTTACAAAATACAGATTTACAAAATACAATCTTCTAAAACTATACATTTCGTAATTTTTAAAGTATAAATATGTAGGAAGCAGAATGGAAAAGTAAACGTAAAACTAAAACTCAAGATCAAGATTAAGATAAAGAGAAATTAAAGTAATCACAAAAATTTAATGTTATAAATATTTTTCCAGTATCAAAAATATTACTAAACTTATATTAATATAGGAAAATTAAATTCAGAAGTCAATTTAATGCAAGTTACTTACGGATATAGGATTTTCTTCTGCCATTGCGGTCGCCAGCAACGCTGCAATTGTCACAAAGATGGTTATCAATTTTATAGGCTTCATATTTTCAAGCCTAAATTCAACGAGTTGCTATATGTATATTTACTGCACACTAAACTGATGTTCTATAAAACAGTTCAGAAATCTGTCACTTTATATATAAATAAGTTCATGAAAAATTGTGAATCATCTACATGGAAAGATAAATTGCTTACATAAAATTGGTAGTTTATCACATTTATTTAAACATATCAAACATATCATTGCATCTAAAAATGCACGTATAATATTTCTTTTGTTTTCAAGCTTTGATGAATGTGTATGAGAATGTTTTGTTTTCATATGTATATAAATTTATTTACCTTTTTTTATTAAAGTTTGTGTGGATTATATCAAACAAGGAAGAAATAATAGTACGATAAATTTGTAGTTTTTTTTCAATGATCAAAAGACGCGCAAAACACGTAAACTGTTACGTTCGTAGAGTTTTATGCACTTTTTACCAAACTATCGTTATAACTTTAATAGCTATATGTATTTTTATAAAATTGTAATATAATTTTTGAGAGTTCAAAATAAAAATAACAAAAATTTTGAATATAGATTGTTTATATCAAAATATCTAGAATTTCATAATAAAATATAAAAGAAATAACGTGTTTTGGAATGTTATAAAGATTTATTTATTATAATATAATATAAATGTACAGAGTGTAAGTATTAATTTATAGAAAATTATGTATAATGACTTTGTTCCTATATATGTAGATCAGTTACTACACGGTACCTCTTCAATTTTTCAAACTATTAATATATTATCCTTACGCTGTGCATAATGAAAACACAGTCAATTAAGATATAGTTCTCGTCATTCTAGAATTTGCATTGTCTTTATCATAGATTAAATATTAGGGAATATGAGAAAGATAGGAAATTAAGAATAAGATTGTATACAATACAAATGAAATTTAATATTCATGCAATTAATATTATATTGATACATTCATTTTGAAATTGTAATTTTACAATTTCGTAATTATTTACGATGCATCTTTCAGTTTTATCCTCCCTTTAAGATTGACTCTAGGGCGGCCTTCTGAAAAAAAATTTATATATAATTTTAAAATAATAAAAATGTAATATATTTGTATGAATTCAATATAGTTACAATAATATTAAAATAATTATAATGGTAGTATGTTATATGTATATACATATAGTAATAGTCGTTGAATCACTCTCTTTTATTTTTCCTAGTCTATACAAGCCTATAGATTCACTCTTTTAAACTTATAGAAATTTTTATAGAAATATCTCTATAATTTTATAAAGTGTATAAAAAATTACAAATTACTTAATTTTTATAATAAATACAATTTTCTACTACAAGTTTATAATACAAAAATAACAAAAGATGGTGGTGTCGACGATAACTGGCCCATATATTTATTTAAAATACTACGTTTCGACTAGTAATACTAGTCCTTTTCAAGTAATAGTCCATTAATGGGCTAGTATTACTAGTCGAAACGTAGTATTTTAAATAAATATATGGGCCAGTTATCGTCGACACCACCATCTTTTGTTATTTTTCTTCACCCACTGGCGATCCACCTTCTCCAAGTTTGTTTATAATACAAGTTTATAATACAAAATGCAAAAAGAAAATAAAACTTCGTGTGCGCGTGTATGTGTGAGAGTGTAGAAACGTTAATTTAAAATAAAAGTAGGGGTGATATAAAAAGTAATTTATAATAAAATCGAGTATATCTAAAATTAAAACTATTCAAGTAAAAGTTTAACATTATAAGTCTTTTCTAGAGTTAGAATAGCACTAAATTGATTAAACTTAGAATTTAATATTATATTAATCACTTAGGTACCTTGATAGCTTCTCCGGTAACTACAGTTGCCATTATCGTAGCAATTATTGCAACAGTGACTATGAACTTTCCAATTGCCATATTTTTATCTTTATTAAACAGGTTGTTGTTTATTACTTGCACGGGATGATATTTTATATTAAGGCCAAAACCACCTTATATGTATATAGGTACATTTATCAGAGATAAAAAATCATCATGCGGAAAAACGAATTATCAGTTCCAAGAGTGTGTCAACTTATCGTTATTTGAATACAAGAAACACATCGTTACATTCAATAATGCACGTAAAATATAGCTTTTACAATATTAAATAATGTGTGTGAGGATATAATGTCCCCTCTCCCCTATAGATATGTTCAAATAGTTATTGTTTCTAAGTTAGTCTAGATTATATCAAATACGGAAGGAGTAGTAATACGATAAGTTGGTAGTTTGTTTGAACATTGAAACGACCGAAAAACGTGCAAAACGCATAACTTTGTACTTTCTTAGCATATTAAATTTTTATCAAACAGTTATTATATTTTAATATTTGTACGCAGTGCATATGGTAGATATTTCTCAATTGTATTTTTAGAATTTACGATAGGTTAATATTCGCGGCATGAGGGAATTGCAAAAAACTTTTGATATTATTTCTTGTTGACGTATATCGAAGAAAGCGAGGCAGGTTAACTAAATAATAAGTTTATTGGATACTTATATGACGTCAGGGATAGTCTGTTTTACAATAACAACGAGAAGAGTGGCTCTCAGAAGAAGAAAAACATAGTATTTTTTGAGAATTCAAAAGCTAACTAACACGAGGAAGTACCGATCGCACTAACAGATCGTTTCGTTCATAAATGAATTTGCTTTTACATTTTTCTCTTTCAATTTATTCTCTCTTAACCACACACGTGTTACATTTGATCTTTAAACTATCACAAAAATAGTTTTTAGTTTTCCACTCGAAATACATTGTAAACTTCTCTTGTGAACTTCTCCATTAGTACTAAAGTTTTTCTTCGAAGATTTTTTTTGGAGATAAAAATGGTTACTGGAAGTCACATTCTCTATGATGATACAACAATTATAAGCTACATTGTTTGGAGAGAAATGTGATGACGGCATATTAAACGAGTTTCTTCATAATGATAGTTTGACATGCGAGATTCTGTTTTCGTCAAGTACTATTTCATACTGGACTGATCGGATTTCAATGTGTTTTCGTATTTGTAAGTACAATGAATTGTATTATATGATCCGCTTACATTATTTGTCAATCAAAGTATTCGCCGTTGCTTTCTATAACTGTGAGCCATCTGTCAGGTAATTGATGAATTCCATCTCGGAAAAATGTTGTGTCTTTGGATACGATAAAGTTGTCGAGCCATTTTCGGATCTCATCCACTGATTTAAAGTGCGTATCGGACAAGGCAAGTTGCATCGACCGGAACAAGTGGTAATCGGTAGGAGCGATGTCTGGTTAATACGCCGGGTACTGCAAGACGTCTCAGCCAAGACTCATTATGATGTCTTTTGTCGTAGAAGCAATGTGTGGCCTAGCGTTATCATGCAACATATTTCACAGGATGTTCTCCTTTGCCAGTATACGGGCATTTTCGTTCTAATTTTTGACTCAACGGATTAATTGGTCTTGGTAATGGTTTGGAGTAATTGTTTCATTCGGTTCTGATAGCTCATAATAAATTACGCTCTTGGTATCCAACCAAATGCAGAGCAGAACTTTCTTTCCGAAGCGATCGGGCGTTGCGACCAATGTTGAGGGTTCGCCGTGATTTACCTATAATTTTCTGCGTTTCGGATTGTCATAGAGTATCCACTTTTCATCACCCGTAACAATTTTCCACAAGAAAGACTTTCTACGCGCTTATTGAGAAGAGAAAGACATACTGCTACTCGTTGATTTTTATTGGCTTCACTGAGTTCATGCGCAACCCATTTTCTTTCTTTATGAATCTTTCCCATCTTGTGTAGGGGTTTGGAACTAGTTTGTTGTGTTACTCCTAACGGCTCTGCAAGCTCTTTTTGCGTTTGCGCTGAATTCTCAGCGAGCAGTTGCTCCAAATCGTCATTGCCGCATTTCCGAGGACCTCCAATGCATTGTTTGTCACTCAGACTGAAATCGCCGCTTTAAAACCGTCTAAATCAAAATGCACACCCATCGTACGATACAACACCTTCGCCGAGAAAGGAACAAATCGATTTGCATGCTCTTACTGCATTTGTCCTTGTTGGAATTCGTAAAGAAGGCAGTGTCGGATATGCACCTTATCCGTTGCCATTTTTGACTTTACTAAACTGAATAATTTTTATGGTTATGTTGAACCTTTCGCCATACTAAATATAATTTTTAGTAGTTATATATCAACGCTACATAACCTTAAAAGAGCGAAAAAATTAGATTATTTGAAACTTATTTTCTTAGACGCTTAAATAAGTTTGGATTATTTATTTGTACGCCTAATTATTTGTAGAAAATTATGTATAATGACTTTGTTCCTATATAGATCAGTTACTACACGGTACCTCTTCAATTTTTTAAACTATTAATATATTATCCTCACGCTGTGCACATTGAAAATACAGTCAATTAAGATATAGTTTTCGTCATTCTAAAATTTGCATTGTCTTTACCATAGATTAAATATTAGGGAATATGAGAAAGATAGGAAATTAAGAAGAAGATTGTATACAATACGAATGAAATTTAATATTCATTCAATTAATATTTTATTGATATATCCATTTTGAAATTGTAATTTTACAATTTCGTAATTATTTGCGATTCACCTTTCAGTTTTATCCTAATCCTCCCCCGACGAGTGACTGTAGGGCGGCTTTCTGAAAAAAAAATTTATATATAATTTTAAAATAATAAAAATATAATATATATGTACGAATACAATATAGTTACAATAATATTAAAATAATTATAATGGTAGTATATTATATATACAATACCTTTATTTTTCCTGGTCTATACAAGGCTTTAAATTCAACACTCTTTTAAACTTATAGAAATTTTTATAGAAACATCTCTATAATTTTATAAAGTGTATAAAAAATTATAAATACTTAATTTTTATAATACAATACAATTTTCTACTACAAGTTTATAATACAAAATGCAAAAAAGAATATAAAACTTCGTGTGCGCGCGCGCGTGTGTGTGTGTGAGTGTAGAAACGATAATTGAAAATAAAAGTAATACAAAAGGTGATATAAAAAGTAATTTATAATAAAATCGAGTATATCTTAAATTAAAACTATTCAAGTAAAAGTTTAATATTATAAGTCTTTTTTAGAGTTAGAATAGTACTACAAACTGTAGGTATTAATAATATAATAAAATTAAACTTAGAATTTACATTAATCACTTACATCGATAGCCTTTCCGGTAACTACAGTTGCCATTATCGTAGCAATTATTGCAACAGTGACTATGAACTTTCCAATTGCCATATTTTTATCTTTAGTTAAACAGGTTGTTGTTTATTACTTGCACGGGATGATATTTTATATTAAGGCCAAAACCACCTTATATATAGGTACATTTATCAGAGATAAAAAATCATCATGCGGAAAAACGAATTATCAGTTCCAAGAGTTTGTCAACTTATCGTTATTTGAATACAAGAAACACATCGTTACATTCAATAATGCACGTAAAATATAGCTTTTACAATATTAAATAATGTGTGTGAGGATATAATGTCCCCTCTCCCCTATAGATAAGTTCAAATAGTTATTGTTTTTAAGTTAGTCTAGATTATATCAAATACGGAAGGAGTAGTAATACGATAAGTTGGTAGTTTGTTTGAACATTGAAACGACCGAAAAACGTGCAAAACGCATAACTTTGTACTTTCTTAGCATATTAAATTTTTATCAAACAGTTATTATATTTTAATATTTGTACGCAGTGTATATGGTAGATATTTCTCAATTGTATTTTTAGAATTTACGATAGGTTAATATTCGCGGCATGAGGGAATTACAAAAAAACTTTTGATATTATTTCTTGTTGACGTATATCGAAGAAAGCGAGGCAGGTTAACTAAATAATAAGTTTATTGGATACATGACGTCAGGGATAGTCTTTTTTACAATAACAACGAGAAGGGTGGCTCTCAGAAGAAGAAAAACATAGCATTTTTTGAGAATTCAAAAGCTAACTAACACGAGGAAATACCGATCGCACTAACAGATCGTTTCGTTCAGAAATGAATTTGCTTTTACATTTTTCTCTTTCAATTTATTCTCTCTTAACCACACACGTGTTACATTTGATCTTTAAACTATCACAAAAAATAGTTTTTCACTCGAAATACATTATGAACTTCTCTTGTGAACTTCTTCATTAGCACTAAAGTTTTTCTGCGAAGATTCTTTTTTGGAGATAGTTTGGAGATATTTGATAAAATTGGTAAAGTATGTAAAATATTATTAGAATGTCTTAAATTCTGTTTATGTCGTATACTTCGCGTAGGAAAATAACTTCTTTTTCTTTTTAAATATTTCTTTGAAGGAAGATGTATCTATTTTCAAGTAAGACTTTTACAAGCTGCACTTCAGTGATATTTTGATATTGTATACATTACGTTTTTCAGTACATATTTTAAGTATAAAATATAAACTGTATTCCATCAGTAAGGTCTCCTTTCGATAAAATGTGACTCGGAAATATGAGACAGCTCTAGCCAGTCGGTGGGGAAGATGAAGAAAAGAATGGCAGAAACGTAGCTGTGTGAAATATGTGAATTTTCGCAGAATAACGAAATATAATTTGAAAGTCAACACAGAGCTCTTTCTTTCTATTATTCTAACTTTGGATAAATTGTACTAGAAATTTCAGAAAACCGGAAAAAAACGAAAAGAACGTAAGAGAAAGCGAAAGAAACATATATAAATTATTATAAATGGTTTTACTGCTGCTATTTATTACTTTTGTAGTCATTTATTTTATCATCTATTTTGTCTGTGTTAATCATTGTCTTTGTAGACTAGTTTTTATCTTCTCGAATTGCGGTAATTTCGAAGTAAGACGGCCCTGCAAGCTATCTCAAATCTCGAAACGGGATCCACATGTTTCGGTGAGCGGATTACGGTGGATCACGTACACCACGTCACGAGAGACGTTATCCCGCGGATAAGAACTATTCGGGTCTTGCCCTTTTAAGCGGGAAGGCGCAAGCCTTCAAGGCCAAAGACCAAAAATAGCTCTAAACGGCATTGCAACAACTTTGCTAGTCGAGACTTGATAGAAAAGTCGATAGGCGCATTATTAATACATAATCCAAGCCTTCGCGGCTCTACCGCGACACAGCTGACGTAAGGTTTTCGTATTCTCCACGCTGTTTACTACGTTTACTTGTTGTTTACTTCATCTGCCGCTAATTAATTTAACATACTGATTAGAAAAAATGCGTGCGTGTGTGCGCGTGCGCGCACAAGTATATTAATTTTGGATTAAAATTAATATTTATATGAACTATTTGTTCTGAACAAGTAAAATATAAAGGGACGTTATAATTTGAACGTTTGAAAATTTTCTAAGTTAGAAAGTGAGGCAGAGGATATATTTCATAATTTTAAATCAAGTTGTAAAAACTGTGATATTGTAATTAACTTAAAATAAACATTTAAGTTACGTCTCCGTACCCTGAGTATTTAATGTAATAACACGCCAACACACGCACACGCATCCATATTCTTTACACCCACACCCGCACCCACGTCCACGCACACATTCATATATTATCGTATAATATATCTAACGCAAAAAAAGCAAATAAACATTTTCCGTATCAGCAAATAATATTTCTGATCTGAGCGGAGCAAGAGGTAATCTTGTAGAATTATTTCGAGCGTTTAAAGTCCTTGCCACTCATCCCATTTGTGGCATTTGATACACGTGTATGGTATTTCGTGTATGCGCGATTGGTAGCGAAATGCGCCGGGGAAGAAAAACAGAGGGGAATACTGTGGGCGATCTCACCGGAAGCTGGTAGCTATATATCGAACCGAAAGGTAGCAGGGTCGCACACATTGGCGAACGTCCAGAATCGACGCGCGCGCGGTTCATATTTTGATGTGTGCTTCGTAATACGAGAGGGAACAGGATCGAATTGTCAACACAGAATCATAGGCGACTTCGAGATAAACGTGTTAGAAATTAGGTCATCTAGAAGCGAATGAAACTTAACAGAGAATACCTAATAACGTGCTCTTTTGCAGATTTTCTCTCTCTCTCTCTCTCTCTCTCTTTCTCTCTCTCCCTTCTTCCCCCTCCCTCCCCCTCCCTCCCCCTCCCACCCCCTTCCTCCCCCTTACTCTTTCTCTCTCTGACAACTATAACGATACCCGAGTAGTTCAGAAAGTTTAATATTTGGTTTGGTTCAAAGACTTATCTAGCGTAAAGTTTACTAACTATGGCGGTATACTTATGCTTATTAGGAAATATCTTCTTACTAATAATAATCTCATTAATCTTAGGGTCTTTAAGTGATAAATATATATATGTATATAATAACTTACTAATAACAACTTCACACTATAATCCTATGGTCTTTAGACAGTTATTAAGTTTCTTAATAGATTTTTATAATAGATAATAATATCTACATATGTATATAATATGTATGTATAACATTTCATATTTATTTTTATAGAATAATTTTAAATATGAAATTATATATTTAAACATTTAAGAAATTTATATCTATGTTTATTTTGTGCAAATTTAACTTGATTATACATTTATCAAATAATTTTATCAATTATCAATGTTTAAAATAAAATCATCCTTTCTTTTCCAAGTTTAATTAAATATTTTTCAATTCTAATAAACATTATGCAATTACGTCTATACAAATTGCGTCGACCGGATAAAATATGTTTATCTCCACTAGACTGAGCTAATTGTTAAAAAAATTCAATTAACGAACGCTATTGAACGAAACCGCGAAGTCAGCCTTTCGAAACGATTCAACATCGCAAGAGCGGATATTCCGCACTGGCGTAAAAGCCGTTACAAAATACGTAGTGGGCGTTGTGGGCTTTAACAGTGAAATCGCCTCGCGCACCTCTTCTTCCTTGATTCGGGAAGCTGCGAAAGAAGCAAGTAGTCTTTCTTCCACACCCGCAAAGTCAACCCTGGTAATCGTAGCAGCGATTACGAAACATTAAGGATCATTTCTCCTGTCGAGAGGAGGAGAAGTAATAACAGTCGATGGAACTTTTTGTCCCTTTCTGACCCGTATAAATGCTTACGTCCTAAAAAAGAAAGATTTCGAATAAATCTTTCTTTCTTTCTCCTGTAAAAATGTAATATTGGTTACCATAATCCGTACGCATTTTAAATGATTAAATAATTTTAAAATATTCAATTTTATTAAATAAAATTCAGATTAATTCTACATTGTATAAATTTGTATAAATTTGTACATTACGTCTGTATTTTATTAACATAATTTTAGGTTTACAGCTTTGAAGTTGGAAGCATTGGGGGATAAATGTTGGAACACATCATGAATTGCGCGATCGAGTAATGATAAGAGGAACGTAACGGAGATAAGAGATACGGGGGAACTCAAACGAAACTACACAGAAATGAAACGTCAATTCTACTTTCTGCTTCTTGTAATCAGACCGTTCCACCCTATTTGCTCTTGACGCATTTCTTCGTTTTTCGTTTCCGATATTCTTCCCGCATTTCCATCCTTACTCAACCATCTTTGCGTAATAGTGTAAATAAACTTCAATACTGGACTTTAATAAGAAACTATTCAAGCATATCAATATAATTTCAAATCGAATATGTAATAAAAAAATATAATAAATAATAGATCGTCAATCGCGCGCGCGTTAGTTTATTTATTACATTATTACTAAATAATATTAAAATATTTGGGGATACGTGATTGTACTGTGTCTTAAGATTGACAATTCAAGTCGGCGCGCAGTTCTCGTTTCGAGTACTGTACGATATGTGGTATTCGAGAAGTAACGTTAAGGCCGAATCAGACTAGCAATTGTGGACGCGGATTGGATTGGGATTGGCGATTGGCGATTGTTTTCTAGCCAATGAGAGCAAAGCAGTGAGCGATTTAATCGACTCTCATTGGCTAGGTGTCAATCGTCAATCGCCAATCCCAGTCCAGTCCAATCCGAGATTGCTTGTCTGATTCGGCCTTTAGACTGTTTGTTGCGGTGAATATTACCACATGCCTCGGTGGTCAAATTGGTGAGACGTCCGTTTGGTGAGTAGGCAGGTCCAGATTCAAACCCTGGCTGAGAGATAATCTTTTTCGCAATAAATTTAAAATAAGAATTATTTAGACAGTAACATCCTGTCACGGTTCTTTAGTCTCTGTTCCTTCGAATTTGTGTTTATCACATAAGAACCATATAAACTTTATAAAGTTGTTAAAATATTTCGCCGAATTTTTGTTATCTTTGAATTTAACATAGCGTGTTCTATTAATTGTACTAAAATATAGTGGTACAATAGACAAATCCTGAATTAAAAAATCATCAAGTAGAATCTGCGGGAGATCCTTCTTAAACATTATCGTATCCTTCACCTAGCACGTTGCGGTTGCAGCTGCAACTACAAGACTGCAACTGTAGATTCGATTTAAAACGATGGCGCACCCGAGGAAGTAGTTGAGATATAGAAAATTTACGCGGAATTCACAGAAAGACGGCGTTGGTTTTCGCTCTTATTATTTTATCATCAATCTTATCCCTCTTTCTCGTGCTTTTCTATTTTCCAATCGCCTCTCATGCACCTGCACTATTAAAT